CACTTGTAGAGACATCCCTAATACATTGCTAATATTGCCGACGCTTCTTAATCCTATCAGGTTGGTCAAGAAAAAATTGTTGTCTAAGTGTCCAAATTCCATTTTTTTTAAATACGCTACAGAATAAATCATCAGGTACGTGCCAATCAGGTTACGAGATTTTCAACTGTCTGCAGCTGAAACCCTTCAGTGTGATAAGCTTACCAGTGAAATGAAAACATACAAAAGATTTACAAGAAATACGTTTCATTAATAATGAAGCTACGCGTGATAGTAATGAGTTGGCGGTTATCATCAACCGTTTTATTGACTTCTCAGATTACAAAGTTGATAAAACTTCCATTTTGTGGTTTGGTGCTATTTTTAGGAGTGTAAGCGCGCGTATGTGATCGTTTTACACATTCACTGTTAGATTAGATTGTTAACATTAGCCATTGGATAAACAGAGAAAAAACAACGTTAGAAAAAAGTGTCAATAAAAAACATTTTTGTGGGTTCGTTTATCAGTGAATAACGTCGACTGTTATGAATTTCGCGTGTTATTCTTTCGTAGGCGGTGGTTTATGCTTTCTATCCCATTCCATTATGTTACATAATTTATAGTTGATTAGCGTTACGATAAAGTATAAAGGTTGTAATACTGCTTAGTGTAAATAAACCCACACACCACGACACCCGGCATGTAGGCTGTCAAATAAATCCTATTCCTTAGAATTCTATTTTAAGTAAAGTTCTGTGTACATTCAACATCAACAAACAAAAGACAGTGTGTTTTTTATTCCTTTATGTTCTCAGTGGAATATTGTGCTTCAAGATGGAGGCTTGAAGTTTCGGTAGCAGTGATGTTTATTTTTATGGGATGGGGTTGCTAGCCTCATGCCCCACCTTCCCTCTTTACCGGCCCTACTACTGGCTTAGCGAGGTAAAGAAGTGCGTCAGACGGGGATTGGATCCCGGACCACACGCATGGTGGGCAAGCGTCCTAACCACTGTGCAACCAACGCACAAAGGCTTTTAATGACCCTAAACAATTTGCGTATCAACATGGTAGGTGTACTTTAGATGCTACTGCTGTCTTACGTGATAATATCGTCTCTATGTTATATATATAGAGTTGCCAAATATGTTCGATGTATCTTCAAACCATCTGGACTGCATTTTATGTGAGGAGCCTGTGATTTTGACATTTTTTCTAAGCCTTTTCAAGTGAATTTTGTAGCCTGAAAATGTTTTCAGCTTTCTTGGTTCCATTGGGTTTCTCAGTGACCAAATAAAGTCGCTAAGGCATTTGTTTCTTCCCACTATTGACTTGTCGATACATTTTTCCGATGAGCTGTACATCACATTTTTATATTTCAAACACAGTTATATTGTAAATCTATCGAAATGCGATCTTTTAACATTATTCCGGTCTTCTATTCGTTAAGTTCTCTTCTAAACTTGTCGAATATCGGCTGTTGTAGCCCAGGCTTTTTTCGCGAACTTTTTCAGCTTGCGTTATTTATGAATCTTGTGAAAAAATTCCTTGGATAGTTGTCTCTCTTTAGAAACTCAGTGAAATTCAGTTTTATCCTCTTCTTTTCTCGTTTCCATCTGATGTCAGCGAATGTGTCTCCTTCATAGAATACATTTGAGATAACTGGTACCTTTATGTTGATATGGTTTGAGGATCAGAAGAATAAATATTGGATTGGGTGTAGTCTCCCTGAAATACTACCTAACTAAGCAGTACTGCAGCTATCGGATTCTGATATCGTTTAAAACGTAATGTAACGACAGAAGACAAGGGCCACGAAACAGATTGTTTATTTTCAAAAGAATGGATACTGAACAAAGAATGCTCTTTTCGATAACCTGTTCTTCATCAGGCTCTACATTTATATATACATTACAGTGAATGAATGAGTTAGTGTTATGAACGACATTAATGTTTAAATAACATCAAATTAATAACAGTGATAGATTACAGCTGAATCGCATCAACATAAAGTAAGCTGAATGTCAGAAGAATTAGGAAGGATAATATTACAAATTCATGAGTTTATAGTTTCTACTGAAGGCCGGCCAGGGCAGTAGTAGTGGCTGGCTGGACTTGCTTCTTTTGAACACAGAGTGCCGGTTTATTTGAGGCGAATTGCAATAGCCTTTGATGTTTGGAGCATGCAGTGCTTCGATGATGATTTTGGAAATTTATTTGGCACCCGGTAGATGATGATAGAGAAGGATCCTTCAATGCTGGCTTGCCTTAATGGTTGGAACAACGGCCAATATAACTCGCTCCACTACAAGCGCAGTTGAAATGGTAGAAAAATTTTCAGCTAGCTTCCTCCGAATTACTTAGTCCAGAGCTGGGATATGAGATCGAATTCTCATCCAGGTCATCGTTTCCCCGGGTTGACTGTGGGTGATTTTCAGTTGTCATTTGGATGAATCGTACGCTACTGGCCATTCATTATTATCAGATTACCTGTCCGATTATGTATAATCCTGTCATTCATAATCATATTGAATTAGAAGGCATGTGGTGAGAGCAGGCCGTGAGAAAATATGTACAAGGCTGATTCAACAACCAATCACAACAGACTTAACGTGGCAAAATATGATTCGCAGATAGAGAACTCTATTTTTCGAGGAATCCCGAAACAACCAATCAGAAGCCTTCGTTTGTCTGCTTAACTTCTGATAAACAACCAATCAGATGACTGCGCTTGTCTACTTGCATAAGCTATAATAATGTATGTGAAATATATATAAATACGTGTTGATTTTCATAATAAAACGATCTGTTGCCTGGCCCTTGTCTTCTGTTGTTACAGGCAAGCAGCCGGGTTTTCAATTGGCAATGTGACTATCTTAGATAGTCTTGAGTTGGTAGACGCTCACCGATGTGGTGAGTAACGACTAGGAAGTGAAATGAATTGTGAATGACAGTAGGACTGTGGTTAGCCATAAGTAACCTGTTGATTAAGTTAATGTGATTTGGCAACCCCCATTTCCAGTCCAGCTGTAACTGAGATTTCCATTCATTACCCATTACTTAAATACCTGTCAAACGAGAAACTGTGATTTCAGCGATAAGTGTAATAATTCTGCTAATTTGTAGGTTCTATGGTGAAAATCCATAAGCAAGTCGACTGAAGAGCAGCAGTTGATTAATAATTAGTACACACACACACACACACCTTAGAACATAAAAATGAAGACGGACTGATCCCAACCATCAGCCAGTGAGAAGAATCCAGTTTCATTATGCAAAAATGCATTATATACAAGTGTAACACACCTCAGAAGTCTGATGCTCACTTGCAACTGGCAGGTAGTTAACCTGGGGTTCTAGTGGGAAGCCGTAACCAGTAGGGTACAGCAGGTCGAAAATGAGGCAGTAATTCATCGAGGAAAACATTGGGAAATGGTCGCACTATATCGTGAATTGGCAGAAGTTAGAATTCAAGAACCAGTGGCTCAGTGGTCTACGAGCTCGCCTTGTAACAAGAAGGTCCTTGGTTAGAACCCTAGTTGTGGGTGCGTACTGATGAAGAGTCCCAAAGTAGGATGAAACAGCTGTCCGGTACTCCCGGGTTTTCCAGTGGTTCTCCAAATGATGTCAGCTCATGGTGAAATCTCCAACGCAATTACACCTCAGAAAGTCAAGCTAATAAAGACTCAGTATAATTGGTCATATAGGGTAGGGCTTTAACTACTGAGCTACGTAACACAGTGAATCGTAATTTCTCTAATTCTTAGTGTCTTAATCACTGAATTATATGCCTGAGTCGCAAAATGTACTCACTCATATTTTCCTTTGGCTTTCAAACTACCGTTGTGCACTTCACGGAGACTAGGGAAAGTATCACAGGGGTTTAGTCTTCGCTTCATATCTAAAAGCATTTCGTCATGTAATATACTGTAGACTCCTGCTTTACTTAAGGATCCTGAATGAGAAGAAAATATTATGCAATAAATTACGCTCAGAATTCTGTGCACTGTGTTAACTTCTTATTTTATGCTGCCTTAGCCCACTGGTTTGATTTTCTTCAAACTGGTAACAGCTTGTCTAAGCTGGTTTAGCCACCTCCTATCAGATACTTGTACGTGGGTGACACAGCGGTAGAATGCTCGTCAATCACGCTGCCTTATGTGGTTCGGTGTTCGATACCCGGTCACTCCTGCTTTGCTTGCTAAGCCAGTAATAAGACTGGTAAGGAGGGAAGGTTGGGCATGAGGCTAGCAAGCGTATCCCATAAAAATAAACACCATTTTCGACCCCCTCCCGCCATCACTAGAATTTAAAAAACAGTCATTTCACTCCGACCCATCCCACTATCCATCAAAATTACACAAAAAGGCAAAATATATCCAAAAATATTTTCATTTTTATTTTCTCTCTGAAATAAAATAACAGAAGAACAAAAATGAAAGTAAAGATTTCTTTTGTTTTTTTTGAACTGTGTGTTCACTGTGTTCTCACTTCCTTCCGGCGTCTAGTTTCGTTTAAATTTGTACACTGCGCTATTGTATGTTCAATGTCCAACTGTCAGGCGTGTGTACACAAGGCAGAATAGTAGTACTATGTGTTTTTGTTCTTTCTTAAAAAAGTGGGGATATTTGAATCAGTCTTTGGTCGAAGAAAGACGATAACAAGAGGAAACTAATAATGATATATGACTGGCAATGAGTTATGAATGAGTACAGTTCATGTAGTAGTTTAAGACACACATACATACCTACATACATACTGTGATGAAAGTAAACAACACGAGTACATCATTAATCAATATGTTTTGTTAAAAAATATTGACACAGCGTAGAAAACTATATAATATATGTATATTACAGAAATTCTTCTTTGTGGTTACTAATATGTGAAGGTTTTAAATGCAATGAAAGTTTTGCTGACTACATACATAAACATATACATAGACAATTCAAGGTCACGCCGATAATTTAAATCGTGTGTATTGGACATTGATCATTGAACATTTACATAGTTTTTCATCATTTTATTCACCAATCATACATACAGGTATTTGACTAGATGAATTTGAATTCAATATCACTGAACTAGACATCAGTGGATCAAAGGTTGGAGGTAGATGTGATGGAAAATTTTGACGACAATTTGATAAGGCTTTAGGATAACAACCGCTCGAAATAATATTACATGTGTCCAATATCTGACGTACAAAAAGTTGTTTATAATTCCCGGTTATATCATCTACATTTGAGGCATAGATTAAAACTAAATAATATCTTGGATAATCACGACGATGATAAGCTGGTATAGTCAATTCTAGGGTATGCATACCATGAGTTGTTTGACAGTGGATTGGTTTATAGGTTTGTCGAATTCTCGGTGATACAGCATACTCTGGAAATTCACAGTAGTTTGTCTAATAAATACGATAGTTACCAAATGAAAATAAAAGAAGAAAGGATATGTAAACAATGGCAAAAATCGATTAAAAATCTATATTTTATCAGAAATGAGAAAATTAAGATTTTGAAATTAAAGGTGATGTTTCTCATTGGCTTTAGGCACTCGACATGTAGCTGTTCAGTCCAGAGCTCGGATTCTAACCCCACCTAATGCGGCTCGGATAACTGAATTTGTATAGCACGTTATATAAAAGACCTATCCAGCGTAACTGAGCCCAGCTAATCAATAAATTTAGAATATAAAACGATATATTATTTAATATTGTTCCCTTGGGTTACTAGTGGAACATAGGGCTTCAATTGCACATCTCCACTTGCCACTTCTATCTTCCTTCTGTTGTACTTTTCACCTGCATCCATGTTAGTCCATACTCTTTCAACTCCTCTTCACATGATCTCCTCCATGTCACCCTTGCACTGACGTCTCACTCGCCGCTTCCCTTTCCAGTTCCACTCGCGCGATTGTCTGACGCACGCGCGATGTCACCCAGCGGCCTCCTCAGCCACGAGTGTCCAATCCATCTCAATCCACTTTCTCCTGCATATTTGTTGGGCGATTGATTGGTTCTTGTTTTGTTTGTTTGTTCCCATAGTTTCTTGTTGGTGATTCTTTCCGGGTCGGCCATCTGATCTTCAGTATAGATCCAGCGAAGACAGTTGTTCGTTGATAAAGGTCTGCAACAGGCTGTTGGAAATATTCTTTGTAACCCGCCCACCAAGTTTCTGATCCGTATAGAAGAACTGATTGACTTGATGTTGTTTGTATTAAAAAGCCGACTGAATTTTGTTGCTGATGCTGGCTGAGTGACGGAGATTTCCAGATTGGTTTCAGGTTGATGAGTGAATGTGTTTCTCGCTCACCTTCCCGATTCTCGCTCGATTTGACATCCTCGTCCGTTCCCACTGCCTGTAGTTTAGCACAATGCTAAATGCTAGATAAGTGAATGAAGTAACCTCTTTCAAATCCCTCTCGTTGATGGTGATTGGCGCTGGATGTTGTTGTTGTTGTTGGCTGGTTAATTTCATAACCTTGTCTTGTCTATGTTCACCTGGAGTCCTGTCTTTGCTGCTTCTTCGATCAGTTTGTCGGTTTTCGCTTGTAAGTTTTCGATTTTGTGTGACATCAAGCATAAATCATCCACAAGCAAAATCCAGGTCTTCTAGGTTCTTCACGTTGGTGCATAATATCCTTGTCTTCTCGTTTCCCACTCACTGTCTGACTCATAATCCAGTCCACCACAATTAGGAATATCATTGGTGATAGATAATTAGCGCGTTTGTCTGACTCATGTGTTTACTCCAAACGCCTCGCTGAGTTTTCCGTTGTGGATCACTTGACATGGTCCGTTGTCGTACAGCTGTTGAATAAGGTTGATGAAAATTCACGGTACGCCACAGTACTTCAGTAGTTTCCAAATTACTTCACAATCAACACTGCCAAATGCCTTCTCAAAGTCTATAAAGTTGAGGTAGAGGTTCGATTGGCATTCCATGGTTTGTTCTGTGATGATGATGCGTAGAGTTGCAGTTTGGTCAGAACATGATTTGCCTGACTTTCTTGAATCTAGCTTGTTCTGGCGGGGCGGAGTTCTGTATCCAATGCGTCCTTTATTCTCTCCAAGATGATGCGACTCAGGATTTTACTTGGCGTTGACAGGAGCATGATTCCTCGCCAGTTCTTGCAGAGTCGTAAGTCGTCCCTTTTTGGTAATTTCACGAAATATAAACGAAATATAAATGGTTTTAACTTCTATATATATACCGGAGTTGTTGGATTATTTGTGTATTTGGATAGTATTATTTGAAGAGGGGCTCTGTATAAAATATGTGATAGATTTTCTCACTACATTTCCAACAATCTAATCATGCATTTACTTGTCAGCGTCATGATGATGACATAATAAAATATGCTGAGGCGATAGTTATCGGTGAAATGAAGCAATTTTCCTTGTGAATGTATGCAAAAACAGTTTATTGTTACCCTCAGCCTAAGTTAACATGGAGGAGAGCGTATGTGAGAAGGAGATTAGAGCTTGTGATCAGTTCTGGATCTAGTTAAAGACACCCAAAAGGATCAGGATGAAATGGAGGTGTGATGTTGAGTCCGTATGTTCCACTGAAACCTATAGCAATAATAATGGTAATAACTAATAAACCTAACTTGGTAATCCTTATCTGATTATGTAATCAAAAGTGGTGTTGATTGACATCCTTCTTATGTTTGAACCTCTTAACATTGGCCTTTTATTCACACAGAGTGATTTGAAAAATACTTAAAAGTGGACTGAGAAGATGATTGAGACAAAAGGTTCTTTGTTATCGCTTTACAAAATAACCTACTCTAACTGTCTAGTGGTGCACCTCAGTTGTCAATTCCATGCGTATTCAAATGTTCACCTGTTCTTGTGGAGCTAGGTACGTAGAACATTCCTCAGGAAAAATATCCTGCCGCGTTCTAGAGCACCTCCCAGCTTGGCTGAGCAAATGAGAGCATAGAGGTATTGATTCATCGTATTCATATTGTAGATACTGACCACATCGTTTAATGTAGTCTACAAATTTCAACGAAGTTTGCCGAAAGAGACACGAATGTATATGACACAGGATTTGGCAATTTGTAACAAAAAGCCAGAACTTCGTGTAGTAAAACAATTTCTACGATCTTTTTCGTTACAATGGTCTTGATTTTGCTATACAATTCACATAGAGACTTTGTGAACTCCGGTAGGTACTCATCAATAAAGAGTCCCAAACTAGGCTGACGAAACAGCTATCCAGTACTCCCTGTTGGTTTTCCAGTGGCTCTCTAACCCCGATGTCAGCTCAAAATTAAATCCTCTGACCAAACTTTGTTATCCTTCTGTATTCCGTTTTCCACTTTTATTTTGTTTGATTTCACTTTATATTGTCATATTCTAACAGTTAATCAGGTCTACTGTTTTGACAACATTTCGTTCACCTTATGTTTCCATCGTATTTTATTCAGATATTCACATTTCCGAATGTACTTTAAATGTCTATTGACCTTTAGGTTGACCTCTGTATTTTTATTTTTTCATTCATATATTGCACAGCTGTTTCACAGTAATTTGGGTATCATCGGCAGTAGGCTCCCACCGGGGCTTGATCCCAGGGCCTTAAAAATATTAGACCATTTTGCCGAACGAAACGTTGGAACTACTCATTTCAATTTCGCTGAGGTTTTGTGGATATAATTTTCACAAATATCTAATTCATATATACATATATCGATTGCGAAATATTATGAAATGGGAGACAATGGTAGTGGTGATTAGTCATAATAGATTTCTAGAGTGTGGGGTAGGAAAATTGACAAATCAGCTCAAGGTTATAAAAGGTGTCAGGCAGGTGAGTGAGTGACAAGTACAAAGTGGTCTGTATTAAAGAGGAGGAGATAGTAAGACTGCAATCAGAGGTTCATCATGAAATAACGAATGTATGAAATGAAACAGGTGGAAGCATCCTATATTGAGAAAAGAGATGATATCGCTAATAATAAGTCCGTATAGTATAAGTTCAAGCCAACAAAACAATCAGTTCCAACACAAGTAACCGAGAAGGTGTGAAAACACACAAAAACAACCAATCACGGCTTTCAAGGTGGTCACCAGGAGAGATGATTAATAAACTCGTGTCGAAATCTAAAAGCTCATTTCAACAGATTGAAGTATTCTCTGAAGATGTCGCCTAGAAGGGCGATGAAAGCTTCCAAAATTTTTTGATGTGGTTTTGTTCTCTGAGCTGGATGGTTAGTTTGCGAAGCTTTCATCACCTTACTGGGTGACATCTTCAGCGAATACTTCAATCTGTTGAAGTGAGCTTTTAGATTTCGACACGAGTTTATTAATCATCTCTCCTGATGAACTTCAAAGCCGTGATTGGTTGTTTTTGTGTGTTTTCACACCTTCTCGGTTACTTGTGTTGGAAGTGATTGTTTCTTTGACCTGAACTTTGACCCTTTGTGTGTGAGGTTTCCTTCTTATCGGTTGATAAATTTTGTGTATCTCGATGTGTCTATTGATTGATGATTCACCGGAATACCAGACAGGCTTCTAAAGATTCTCTAGCATTCTTGTTGTTTCCTCTGTCTAATATTTGAACTCTGGTTGTCCCAGTCGAATTGATGTCCATGGTTGTCTGTGTGTAGTGAAATGAGGGAGTGTATATCATGTCTTTTGACTGCTAGCTTATGTTCGTCTTCGTATCCACGAACATAAGCAAAGAAAAAAAGGAAAAAAGTCCAAGAGGGTTTAGGGAGAGAGGCCCTCTTGGTGAGAAGAACAATCATTAATCCAAGTTTGGCCACGGTATGAACAGCATTTGGATGTGTTCTTGTTCGGATACAAAATTCCGGTTTAGTCGATCGTACCACGACAGCTTCAATTGTGCGTGTTGGAGACGTAAGTGAACTGTCCAGAATTCCGGAGTCGTTATCACGTAGAGTTCACTTACGTCTCCTACATGTGACTGAAGCTGTTGCAATGAGATCTTGGTTTTTTTTTCTATGCTTATTATTAAAATTATTTTTACTAATCATTATAATGTATACCCTCCATTCAAGCATTCTTTCAGTACTGTGGAATTTCCAATTTATACTATCCTGACTTATTATTAGTGATATCATCTCTTTTCTCAATATAGGATGCTTCCACCTGTTTCATTTCATACATTCGTTATTTCATGATGAACCTCTGATTGCAGTCTTACTATCTCCTCCTCTTTAATGCAGACCACTTTGTACTAGTCACTCACTCACTCACTTGACACCTTTTATAACCTTGAACTGACTTGTCAATTTTCTTACCCCACACTCTAGAAATCTATTATGACTAATCAACACCACCATTGTCTCCCATTTCACCGAAATACTTTGTAATCGATTTCAGCCTAGCACGGCGTTTGTCACACAAATACGACTATTTATTTTGATACCCCATAACTAATCTGTTATTCCATTTAACATATATATATATATATACAGATATAGTACAACAATGGCAAAGCTGTTAGGAAGTTTGCCGACCATGCACATGGTTTGGGGTTCGATTCCCGGCCACAGACGCACTCCTGTACCTTGCCAAGCCATAAATTATGAAGAAAGAAGAAAGACTGGGCATAAGGCTAGCAACCCCACCCTGTAAAATAAACATCGCTACAGAAACTTCAAGCCTATAGCTTGGACCCCTATGTTCCACTGAGGAACGTGGAGGAAAAAGATATATATATATATATATACATTTATTTATATATATATTCGATTGTACATCTATGAAAATGAAATCTTCAAGTATCCGTTTGTATGGATTTGATTGACTGATGAAAGAATTTCATCATGGGCTGACATCAGTTAGAAAACCACTGGAAAACCAACAGGGAGTACTGGACAGCTGTTTCGTCTTCATCAGTACGCACCAACCACAAGGAAGTTCGGACAGCGGGTGCGTACTGATGATGAGTCCCAAACTAGGCTGACGAAACAGCTATCCAGTAATCCCTGTTGGTTTTCCAGTGGCTCTCTAACCCCGATGTCAGCTCAAAATTAAATCCTCTGACCAAACTTTGTTATCCTTCTCTATTCCGTTTACCATTTTTTATTTTATTTTATTTCACTTTATATTGTCATATTCTAACAGTTAATCAGGTCTACTGTTTTGACAACATTTCATTCACCTTATGTTGGTTTTTCACTGGTTCTCTAACTGATGTCAGCTGATGATGAATATGAAATCGTCTAAAAGAGAATTTTCTTCGCTGACTCTTTGTGTTTTTATTTTAACGTCTCAATAGGAGTTTGAATAAGGCATTAAGAAGACAAATTTCGTGAGATGATATCGTCATTTCGTAGTTGCTTTACAACCGCTTTACAACTAACATGGTTAACAATAGTAAAATAAAATAAAGGTCATGACAAGTATACCTTGCATTTGTTTTTACAATTTCCACATGAATATATCTCCTAACATAGAATCTTTATTCGCCAATGTTCTCCTTCATCATGCAACTGTTGATTTTATTTGTGATTACCTTACAAGCAGGGGGATAAACTTACCTATTCCTGTCACTCACATCACATAGATTATATTAATATGTACAGAAAATATTAGATTCATATTCCAAGAAAAGGCATACAAACAAATCGATGGTGTTAAGATGGGGAGCCATTTTGGGCCCCTTTTCAGCAGATATATTCATGTCGAAATTAGAAAAACAAATGTAAGGTATGCTTGGAGAATTTATGCTGTATAAACTGTATGTAGATAATATTCTCATTATTGGTAATAATAGTAAATCTATTGGAAACTGTATTAACCTATCTAATCATATTCATCCAAATATCCGAGTGACTTCTGAACTCGAATCGAATTACAAACTCGGTTTCCTGGATATTAAAATGACCAGGAGAGATCTATTTTTCTTAAACGGACATGGAGTGGGCAATATCTTCATTCCACAAGTTTTCTTCTATCCAATATAAACGTTCCCTAATGACACTTTGGTTTTCAAGGACCCGAAAAACATGCACGAGTGACACATTGATGGACGAGCTTCGACATATACATTCACTTTTGTTAGTTAATGGTTACCCAGAAAACTTTCTAAGTTATCACAATTAGGGTAGACCATATCTTGAAAAGAAAACTTCTGTACCAAAGAAAGTTATCTTTATTAACCTACTATTCAAGGGTAATCAAATTACACAGTTGACAGCTAGCTCAAAGACTTCGGTCAGTCATCAAACGCACATTCCACGCCGCATCCCTTTCTCTCACATGCTGAACATTTTCGATCCTTGTACTTACGATTAAAGGACGAAATTCTGTGAACTCTGTGGACTTCAAATTGTATCTACACGTTTGCCTGCAACTGCGGTGACACCTGTATAGGTGAAACCAACAGAATGTTCCAATGTCGTCGAAAAGAACATGTTCCAAAATGGCTACTAAATCGTATAGAAAATCCCAAGGAGATTAATCTGAATAGAAATCCAGCATCATCTATTGCAAAGCACTTATTAATGTCAGGTCACAAAATCAATATTAATGACTGTTTCACAATTATTTCACATAACTCTAATTCAAGGTTGGTTATTGAAGGTGATGGAAGCATTTTGGGGGATTAATAATATACAGCCTAAACTGTGTGTACGGAAGAAAATAGACTTCAATCTTCGCCTACCATGGACTCCATGACCTATTTTAAAATATGATTGGTCATTAGTATGTACTTTTGTTTTTTATTTAACTGAGTAATTGTCATGAATTTTATTTTATTATTATTATGAACTATGTTAGTTGTAAAGCGGTTGTAAAGAAACTACCAAATGATGATATCATCTCGCGAAATTTATCTTCTAAAGGCCTTATTCAAATTCCTATTGAGATGTAAAAAAAAAGAAAATTACCTTTTCGACAATTTCATTTTCATCATGAGCTGATGACATCAGTTGGAGAGCCACTGGAAAACCGACAAGGGGTACTGGACAGTTGTTTCGTCAGTCCAGTTTGGGACTATCCATCAGTACGCACCCACTGTATACAACTAGCTCATGATGAAATCCTCCATGCAATCAAACAAAAAGAATCACCCTACAAAACCAACCAATACTTGAAAATTAATCTGATGCTCACTAGCGACTGGCAGACAGCTAACCTGAGAGGTTCTAGTGGGCAGCCGTGACCAGTAGGGTAATAGCAGGTTCAAAATGAGGCAGTAACTCATCAAAGAAGACACTGCGCGAAGCGGTCGTGCTATGTCGTGAATTGGCTGGCAGAAGTTAGGATTCAAGAACCATTGAATTGGGTCCCAGTTGCGTAGTGGTCTACGAGGTAGCTCGCCTTGTGTAACTAGAGGGTCATGACTCCGAACTCCTTGTGGTCGATACGTACTGATGAAGAGTCCTAAAATGGGACGAAACGGCTGTCCAGTACTCTTTGTTTGTTTTGCTAACTGATGTCAGCCCATCATGAAATCCTTTCATCAATCAATCAAATCCGATGCCTTATTCAAATTTATCCAAGGAACGAATTGTTTTAATTTTCTCAATTAGGATTATTATTTTTGTAGATAAGAGAGGGGAAAACACACAAAAAGCAAAATTCATACCATATTGTTGATATGATCTAGCATAAATGATATGTTATCCGTAAGATTACACGCCAGCGGTATTGTATATATCCAATAATTATGTGGATTAATATGAATCGATAAACTTATATACACTTGATGTAGTGTACAATCTATACCAATTTGAAAACCATTTTTCAACGAGATTTTTCTTAATCTCCGTGTTAATATACTTGGAATGTGTACATTTTGATTGACTGGATCGATATTCGATTGAGTAATATTAGAAGAAGAGGACGAAGGCGGATGAGGATCAGGAGGAGGAGGATGTGTAGAAGTGGCAGTATAACTAATGGAATATTCTCTCTTACATATCGATTTACTTTAATAAATTTAAATTTAAATAATTCTTTGGATTTTTTATGTTTTGATTTTAATCGATTCAAATAATGATAGCGAGGATGATTATTGAAAAGATGGTGCTGCTGATGATGATAATAATTGTAATAATAATAATCCCGTTTAGCACGATAACTACTGAAATGATTGTAATGTCGATTATTTTGTAATAGGAATGGTGGAATTTGAAAGATTGTTTGATTACTTGATGGTTGAGTGGCTATACTTGATATATCTGTAGGATAAACTGTTAAATCAATGGAAAAAACAGAATTTTAACAGTAAATAGGAAACAGATATTTAATTTAAGAAGTAAAGGAAATGTTGTATATGACTAATGGAAATCAATAAATCAATAAATTTCACTATTAGTCATCATAAACTAAATCAATAATGTTTATTTAAGTGAATTTTTTCAAATTTTTTGGTTACAGCTTGATTCACACTGTATTTTTGGGACAAGTATGGAATTTTCAGCATGTGATATCGCTAGCTTAAATTATGCAGGCCGACCATAGATATCAGGTGTTCGTCGGCAGGGAATCGAACCTCGGACTATGTGCATGGTCGGCGAGAGTCCTAACCACTGTGCCACCAACGCACTATTGACTGAAACTTTCGGTCTGTGATGACATGACAAAGGTGGACGCTTCTGTCGTATCTAAAGATTAACATGGCGTAATTACATGGATGGCGACTAGCAGTGAAATCTGGGATAAACCTACGGTCGCTAGAATGTGGTGATGTACCCACAGGACTTGGACTCACTAATAAAGTACCCTAGTGCATGATGATTTGGTATTTTAAATGGTGAATAGTAGGTTCAAGTCTCAGTTGGAACACTACCATTCACTGGAGATTGCAAATCAAATCCTGTCGACAAGTTCCCAATAGGACGAAATACGCAGTTTGGATCTCACTGTTAGTCAAAATCCACCAATTATATTGAAAAAAGCAGTTTTTGATAGTCTAATCATCAATTAACAACCAGCTTGCTCCACTCCTTTTAATTCAATATGATTAGGATTGACAAGGTGAGACATAACTAGACAGCTAATGTGCTATTAATGGACAGTTACGTATGACTCATTCGTGTACAGAATAGCTGGGATGCTGATCTTGTTAGCTCAGCTGGCAGAGAGAGAGAGAGAGATGGACCAGTGATTCAGAGGTCATCGATTCGAGTTCTATCACAAGGTAGGTTTGTATTTCACCTTCATGTATCAACAATTACGTCAAAAACTGTTTACTAACCCTAGAAATGTAAACAAAATTTGTGAATTACGACAAATACTCGTGATTATAATCATATTTAAACATCGGGCGACTATACCGTAGGTTATGTGATATGTATACATGTACAATAGCTAGTAGGACGTACCGATCTTAGATTGGGGTGTAAAACTGATAAACAATATCAGAAATTAGCTAAGATAAAGAGAGTGTTTTACTTTGCAGAAAAATAAACTGAATTGAGGGGGACAAGTGAAATGATATCAGCCGACTGGACCCAAGTGCTAGGTCTTAGGTCGACATGTCGGCTGCTTATGCAGATGCTCTGATGATGTCTGGTCATGTAACTTGAAGTCAATTGGTAGCTGGTGACTAACAGTGGAATCCAGGATAACGCGCGTTTTGTCCCATTCGGGACTCGTCAACTGAGACGGAACGCTTCCGGCCAATCAATCGATGGGAAAATCGAAAATGAATAAAATAATGAATAAGAGGTGGCTCTCGTGGCCCAAGTGGTCTAGTGGATAACGCTTTGGCGTTTGAAAATATGGGTACTGGGTCCGAGCCTCAGTGGAACACCATAACTCACTGCGGAATGCAGGTACATCCACTAGCTGACGAGACCCAAAGAGGACGAAACGCGCGTTACCCTGGATTCCAATGCTAGTCATCATCCATCAGTTGACTTAACTACTTGGAAACTTTTCAAAGTTAAATTAATAACAGTGAAGAAGTCTATCAGTTGTTCTAGAACTTGCCTACTAATCTCAGTAATCTCAACACAGATTTAAGACTTGTAGATTCCGTGAACTATTTTATGTATTGCGTAACCGTTGTTTCTTTTTAATGTGGTTGTGTTCTCTGAGCTGGATGGTTAGTTTGCGAAGCTTTCATCACCCTACTGGCGACATCTTCAACGAATACTTCAGTCTGCTGAAGGGAGCTTTTAGATTTCTACACGAGTTCATTAATCATCTCTCCTGATGAACTTCAAAGCCGTGATTGGTTGTTTTTGTGTGTTTTCACACCTTCTCGGTTACTTGTGTTGGAAGTATTTGTTTCTTTGACTTGAACTTTGACCCTTTGTGTGTGAGGTTTCCTTCTTATCGGTTGATAAATTTTGTCTATCTCGATGTGTCTACTGACTGATGATTCACTGGAATGCCAAGCTTCTAAAGATTCTCTAGCATTCTTATTGTTTCCTCTGTCTAATATCTGAACGTTGGTTGTCACAGTTGAATTGATGTCCATGGTTGTCTGTATGTATTGATATGATATGCACGTAATGTCTTTTGACAGCTAGCTTGTGGATGTTGTAAGTTTAAATGTAATGCAAGGTAAGCTATGTATCCATATCTACTATATTGCAATCCCCAAGTAATTCCCAGGATGAACATCAGCCTGATTCTAATAAAGTGGATCCTATCAGCCACGAGTCCTCATTTGAACTTTATGGCATCCATTATGCTGCCAGTAATGAGAAGGATATTGATACCAAGATTTTAAGATTTTTTAGGTATTTTCAGTAATCTCAACATCGATTTCACGATTAAATGAAACTATTTCGGGAATCATTAAAAATCAGCTGACCTTGGGACACGAAGTTCCTGGATTCCATCCTTACTGGCGTCATGGATGTGTACTGGTGAAGACTCTGAAACCAGGACGAAAGAATCTTCCAGTGTTCCATCAGTCATAATTTTTTCTCACTATTACTCGATTTTCTAAATATTTCAGAGATTTTAATAAACACACACCATCTTCTTGAAGATAATACGCATTCACTGGTGTTCGAACCCAAGAACTTACTGTTACACGGTCAGCTCGTAGACCATTCGGCCATTTTGAACAGAGTCTACCTCCTACCAACTTGTGATTTTAGCTCAACCACTGGACAGTGTTATCGACGAGAAATTGTCCTCAATCCAGACCTGGTGAACCCTATTGGTCAGGAATTCCCACCAGAGCTCCAAGCAACTTCACCCTGAAGCTAGTCGCTAACAAATAAACCAAATCCCTATAGACTAATGAATTCTTGAAGACTTGGTGATACCAACTCCATATGAAGACTTCATCATGAGCTGACATTAGTTAGAGAACCATTGGAAAACCTGGGAGTACTGGACAACTGTTTCGTCCTAGTTTGGGACTCTTCATCAGTACGCACCCACCGGGATTCGAACCCAGGACCTTCCGGTTACAAGGCAAGCTCGTATACCATTAAGCCACTGGGACCCCATCCAATGGTCCTTGAATTCTAACTTCTGCCAATTCACGACATAGCGCAACCGCTAGCCAATGTCTTCGGCGAGTATTTATCCTCACACCCGACCGGCTGCGCCCTACTGGTCACGACTTCCCACTGGAACCCAGGTAACTACCTACCTGAATAGGGCCAGTCACCAGTGAGCATCTTATTGGTATTCAAGTGATGGTTTGTAGGGATTTGATTGGTTTCAGGATTTCATCATGAGCTGACATTAGGACCATTGGATCGGTCCCAGTGGCTTAATGGTATACGAGCTTGCCTTGTAACCGAAGGTCCTGGGTTCGAATCCTGGTGGGTGCGTTCTGATGAAGAGTCCCAAACTAGGACGAAACAGTTGTCCAGTACTCCCAGGTTTTCCAATGGTTCTCTAACTAATGTCAGCTCATGATGAAATCCTGAAACCAATCAAATCCCTACAAACCATCACTTGAATTCCATATGAAGACACTTCGATGATATCTTGAGAGGAACATGGTGTTTGTTACCTGTGGTTGCAGTGTAATCTACGATGCATGTTTCAGGTGAAAGCCAATACCAATTCAATAGTATCACATCTGTCCTAAAATAACAGTCGACCTCCTGTAATAGAAGCCAGCATATAAATGAAAGACAGATTCAGCGAAGAAATTTTCTTATCGACAAAATCATCTCATCAGAGGCTGTACAGTCGTATTTATACTTACAAAATATATATATTCAGTGGTCTATTGTTGAGTAATAAGGGGTGACATAATTGATGTAATTACTCAGAAGTGGCTTTAGAAGTGAAAATTAAAAATTGTAAATTACGTGGTAGACAACGGCACAAAGTTAGACATTTGATAAGGTTAAAATTGCTCTTGAGTGAGAATAAAGGTGGTAGTTGAGTGTTTAAAGTGTGAAGAGGTGTGAAAATATACAAAAGGAGCATATGAGATTGATAATAGTGAATTAATTATTAAAGCAAAAGCAAACTAAAAGTAAAATTAAAAATTAAGAACAAAAGAAAAAATCAAAATGTTTTACAGGGAACCATTGGTCAAGAGGTTAAGTCTAAGGTAAAATAAGAGACTGGACAAACGTTTTCTGTATACAGAGTTCAGGGTTGTATTGAAGAATTGCCAGCACTTTCCAAACGCATCTCTGAACACTATCCGGCATAGTTAAAAAAAGGACAATGCAAGACAACCACTAGCTCAATTCTCGAGCATTTGGTGAACTCAGGCCATGTAGCTTCAACAGAGTCATCTTCCAAAATCATCTACAAAGTGAAGCCAAATTGTACTAAAAGGGCGTCAGGTTTCGGATTTTGTCTATGGAGGAGGCTCTGGCAATTTATCAATACAACCCTGAAATCTGTATACAGAAAAAGTTTGTCCAGTCTCTTATTCTACCTTGGACTTAACCTCTTGACCAATGGTTCCCTGTAAAACATTTTGATTTTTTCTTTTGTTCTTAATTTTTAATTTTACTTTTAGTTTACTTTTGCTTTAATAATTAATTCACTATTATCAATCTCATATGCTCCTTTTGTACATTTTCACATCCTCTTCACACTCAAATACCACCTTTATTCTCACTCAAGAGCAATTTTAACCTTATCAAATGTCTAACTTTGTGCCGTTGTCTACCACGTAATTTACAATTTTTAATTTTCACTTCTAAAGCCACTTCTGAGTAATTACATCAATTATGTCACCCCTTATTACTCAACAATAGACCACTGAATATATATATTTTGTAAGTATAAATACGACTGTACAGCCTCTGATGAGATGATTTTGTCGATTTGGGAAAATATTCCTCGCTGAATTTGTCTTTTATTTTCCTCATAACTCAACGGGTATTTTTGGAGATTTGAAGCACAGCTTATAAATGGTGGCAGAGAAGTTGGGCCTAATATGAATCAGTCAGTAAATGGGAAAATCATAAAAAGCAACCCCAAGAAATAGCAACCAAAACCATTGCATAAGATGTGACTCTCATAGGAATAATCAACTCTGTACACAAAAATATCATTTCAAGAAAAAAGAAGCAAGAAAGGCTATCTTACAGGTTTGTTTTGGTTTTTGTGGTAGAATGTTGGTAGCATTCGAAGTGAGGAAAAAATACCTTCCAACTGGTAATCCATTTTTGAATTTCACATCACCATTCAATTGCATATAGTAGACGCCATCTTCTGATGAATTTAAACACAATCGAAGCACATAATGATTATTTATTGAATATTCACACTTCTTTTCCTGTGAATTTGATGTTGTAGGCGAATTCCTGCAAGAAAGAAGATAGTATTTTGAGGAAAATTCAAAGCGAAAATCTAAACGCAAATTTGATTGGATTCAGTTACTCCTCGAGAAGTCAAATCTGCCACAGAGATAGATCTTGGAATTGTAGACCTCATTTGTGCCGTTTCAAAGTATGAATGGTGTTAAAATGAAGTAACTTTAAGGATGAAATTAGTTATGTAAGATTATTTTATAAAATTCTATCAGTTTTTTTGTTAATTTTCACCAGTATTTTCAGGTTTGCAAATGCATTGGCCGTTAGGCTATCTGAAGACCATTTCTGAGCAATTGTTATCACCATGATGACAAATGTTTGTTATTCATATAGTAGTGGAGTCATAAAGTCTATCAGAAGTCCCATCTGACTGGCACACCTAGTGGTAGTGGAGCACAAGACTGAAAAAAATTTAGCTTTTACAATTTTATGCAAGGTGCTGTCTCAACTCCCAGGTTGGTACCTCTTCGGTTGCTAAGTATAACTGAAGTGGTTGCCATCAAGATTTTTCAAACCAATCTTTGTGTTCGGAAAAAGTTTGTTCAGTCGCTCTCCCTCTTTTGGCCATTTTCTTCAATCTGAAGCAGTCATCTCTCTCAGTGACACTGGATAACTACAAATATTATCTAATTATATTTTTATTTTATTTGTAATGCTGGTTGTACTATCAGTGTCATCCAGTGCTGTAGTTGTACATTTCATTCTCGACTTAAGAGTTTATCACTATTACTACTATACTGTCTAGTCGCTGTGTGACAAAAGTCATTTGTCCCTCTACCCCTGCTAGTATGCACATTCTACCAATCCATTCAGCATTACCCTGATTATGAAAACACTTGGATGAATTTATTATTATTATTATTATGATGATCACCTTGATTGTTATCCATTAATTCACATCCCTGAACTCTGATCGTATAATTTATTAACCACATTAATTCAAATGCCTGTGACTAAAATTTCATCATGTAAATGTAAAGCTTGATTACAATTTACCGAAAATACGTATTTTCTTAAATCGTGTTCTGCAATTATCATTATGCGAATTTTTGAATTATATATATACTACTTATGAGTAAGCGAAATAATAATTATAATTTTAATCGTTACTTCGTTAACATACCAATAAACAAATAATACTGGGCGTTGTTCTACGATCTTAATTTTTTCATGCTGGGGAACACCTACAAGTATGGCTGAATAAAACTGTTGTAAAAAGCACCAACAGTTAGGAAACCTCATTCAGACAAGCTTACACTGAACAATCTTTTATTATAATCGATCGGGTTCCGAATTATTTTTTTTACTTTTTTTATTTTTTTTAATCCTCTACGTTCCAAGTGGACCATATGGCTTCAAGCTAGAGCTTCGAAGTTTCTGTAGACTAACTTTACCTCCTTACCGGTCTTATTTCTGTCTGAAAAGATGTGAAGGAGGAGTGCATCGGCCAGGGGTCGAATCCCAACCACCTGCATGGTTGGCGGGCATTATACAGCTGTGCCAACGAAGCTGGTTACCGAAAAAGTTACCAAAAACCCCTTATTACTGAGCACTCCGAACAGTTTGCTTGGAAAAATTGGAGATATGTTCGCAAAGTAAACAATTCCAACCACTACGGCTACTGTGGTCAGTAACACACCCGATGAATCCATTAATTCTACATCAGTTCTCTCAGTTTATCTGATATCCAGTTTAGGGTGTTATACTGATGCACCCTGAAATGTAATCTATCGGTATTATTGATTCGATGTTATTTAAGACATAAATGTTGTTAATAACAATAACTGCAGAACCTGAGGCAGACGTTATCGAAAAGAATATTCTTTGTTCACTAAACTCAGTCATTATTTTCCTCAGTGAAACTTCTGAAAGCTCTGTGAATATATTGAGATCGGCCAGCTTTGCTTTGTTCCAAACAAAAAAGACGAGCACAAGTGAGTTTCTTAATGTCCTCAATCTAGCTAGAGAGCATTATTAGCTGGCATTCTTGATATCTGACTACTAATATGAACCTTAATAACATAAGAATGAGACAAATTGTTTAACTAGCCACCGACTGTCAACATTCGATATCTTACACTCTGTCCAATAAGCATCGTGATAAAACAATAAGTTGAGAAAATCCGGGATTTTATTTGTATTATGCAATTCGATGACAGAGACCGAATCTAAATATCAGACTAACTTTTGCCATAAATGCTATCTCAACAAATATACCAAGAGGAATAAAAATAGAGTGAACATACGCTGGCAACACAACACATTGGGTATAAGAATAAAACTTGTACACTGTGGTAGAGTATAATTCTATGGGTAAAATTTATTTTGACAAATTCTCACAGTATTGTTGTACAGTAATATTTCCTGATGACCACGTTTCGAGAACAATTTATTACCGCTCATAATCATAAGAAGATACTCACACAACTTCATTTATATAATTGCATTATTTTTTCATCGATTGATTTGATTGGTAGTAGTATTTTCCATGTTTCCGGTATGAATGATGATTCATTCCCCATACGATCAACCGTAGATTTCAGGAATACCCCCACTTATGAATTATCAAAACACTAAGCTCTAATATTATGCCCCATTAGAAATCGTTCAAACTCTAGACTAACTAATTCATATGAGATGAAAAGTAAACTAAATGACATTCAACTAGAGAATGATGAAACAATGGTTAGTTTTGATATAATTAGTCTTTATACTGACATACCAATCAATATGGCTTTAGAAGCACTTAAAAAAGAATTAACTGCGGATCTTGAACTCAATCATAGGACAAAGCTACCCATTGAAAAAATTATTTTAGGGATTCAGTTATGCCTCACATCTACTATCTTGAAATTCCAAGGTAAAATATATAGACAAACAGAAAGTGTAGCAATGGGATCACCGATATCCCCTATCGTAGCGGATATATTTATGGACAACTGGGAAAATATTGCTCTCACTACATTTAATCCTACTACAAAAATGTGGTGGAGATATGTGGATGACACTTTCACAGTGTTGAAAACAGAACATATCTCTAGCTTCTTGACACATATAAACTAACTAGTAAATGGAATAAAATTCACATTTGAATCGAAAAATGAACAAGGAGAATTAGCTATGTTAGATTGCAAGATAAAACCAATAGAAGAAGGTGAACTGCACACTAGAGTTTATAAAAACCAACGCATTCTGCTAATAGATATTTAGACGTTAATTCATCTCACCCATTATCTATCTGTGAAGTCAGGCTTAGTTAAATGTCTAACAAACCGAGCAGTAGCACTAAGTAGCACAAGAAAAGACCTAAATGATGAAATAAAACAGATAGAAAAGGAAGCGTTGGTGTCAAATAACTAACTATCCTATAAAATTCATTAGGAATATTAAAAAAGGTCAAAGGCAAATTGAAAATAATGGTGAAACTAATAATGATAACATCAATGAGAGAGAATATAACCCATCTACAGTAGTTTTACCATATAAAAAAGGGACATATGATACCCTACGTAGGATTGTCAATGGAGCAGGAATTAGGGTGGCATTTAAACCTACGAACTCAATCAGGTAGGACAAGCTCTTTAGGTTAAAGAGGACCCAGCTGACCCAAATAGACAAAATAATATAATTTACAAAGTACTTTGCAATGAATGTGAGTTTTTAGTCAACTCTACATACGCAAAACTAGTAAGTCGAGAGTAGTTAGATTATTGGAACATAGGAATTTAGCCAAGTTAATAATGGTTGACAAGTAATTGATAAAAAAGCTTAGCAACTGCACTACATGCATTAAACACAACCACACAATAGGGTGGTGGGAGGTTGATTAAAACTCTAATCTAGGTAGGTGGAGAGCGAGAAAGTTTTATTACTGAATCCTGCATGATTCATCGAGTCTACACCCATCACATGCAATAGAAATGAATCATCACTCACACCGGAAAATGGAAAATACTACTACCAATCAAATCAAGCGATGAAAAATAATGCAATTATATAAATGAAGTTGTGTGAGTATCTTGTTATGATTATGAGCGGTAATAAATTGTTCTCGAAACGTGGTCATCAGGAAATATTACAGTACAACAATACTGTGAGACTTTATCAAATAAATTTTACGCATAATGGAACAATACACTGAGCAGACAGAAGACAGTTTAAAGAGGAATTAAAGACTTGTGAGAAGTCATGAAGCCAGTTGAAAGGGATGACAGAGAGTCAAATACACTGAGGATGTGATGTTGAGACCTTTTACACTACTTGGAATGATTATAATAGTAGTAAAAAAGGACACAGTATAATCATTTGTAACGATAAAATAAAAAGAACAACTACATACATGTGTGTTAATCACTTACTTACCTTGAAAGTATCTTTTTAGCCAATGAAATTGTATAATTCATCGATTTATCCCTGGGTAAACTACACGGTTGATAATACAATTGACCAGTGTGCTTATTTATGCTCCCATTTAAATGAGATATCAGAATTCCATAATAAAGAGAATTTATGCGGTTCATATACAACTTGGATTTCATCCAATTTGCGTCGTGCATCGCATCGCTCGATACTGTGTTGAATAATTCGAACAGGATAAGCTGTACTAATATCCATGTGTTTATTGATTGCATATACATTTATGAATATTTGAGGGAATGATTCAGCGCTAATTGATTTAAAATCGTTGTAAGTGCAGGGGATAATCTAATCTTTGGAAATTGAAAAAAAGATTAGAAAAAAAGGAAAGGGAAAAGCATAAGAAAAATAAAAAAGTAGTATTTTAGAGTTATTTTTTGTGAAATGTAGTAATAATAGAAACACTTATTGTATACCGCCTACCTAAGAATGAACAGTGGTCAATATTGGTTCTAAGATTGGGACTAAAGGCTTAATGGTTTTTATTCAAGAGGTGGTTTCTTTGGATTTGATTAGTTAGTTGATTAGTTATCAGACAGGGAACTGATTAAAACCAGAAGAGGGTACTGGACAGCTATTTCGTTATAGTTTGTGATACTCCAGCAGTATCCACCCACTGAATTCGAGCCCAGGTCATTCTGGTTACAAGGTGAGCTCATATTTCGTTCATCAACTAATACCCTATCGAATAGCCCATGAATTCTGACCTGTATGACCAACCAAATCCTTGAAAACTGACACTCATAAATTAATCTGATGCTCACTGGAGACTAGCTTGTATATAGGAAGTTACCTGGAGCTCTAGGGAGAGCCAGCGACAAGCTGGATCCATTAAGTCAGGCAAGAGAACAGCTACTTGCTGATGGTATCTACTGGTGGTTGTGCTATATAGATCATGAATTGGCGACGACTGGAATTCATGGTCCTTTGGATCGGGTCCCAGTAGCTGAATGGCCGTCGAACTCGCTTTAGGACCGGAACGACAGGGTTTGATAACCAATGTCACTTACTGCCAAGGGTCCCAATCAGTTCCCTGTAGGCCAACTATTTGAGGTGTATGTATTGTGAAGTCCCTGCAAACCATTACTTGAAAATAGTCTGATTTTCACTATTGATGGGTTACAGGGTGAAGTAATCTGGAATTCTAGTGGAAATTTTTGACGAGTTCTCTGTAGTCATGATTCGCACGCAGAGAGTGACAGTATTAGCTGGCTGAACAACTGCTAACTACATTCTTTCTGTCCATGAGTTGCACCTTGATTATGAATACTTACAAAATACCGAATGTTATACCATTCAAGTCAGTCCCTCATACTTATTCACCACTTTAGAACCTGACTAGTTGGTTGGATCACAAGTACGTCTGTTTATAAAGAAAAGTATTTTGATTATAGATATTACCTTTTTAATTATACGATTTATTTACACAAAGATTACCTCTTGAAATGTAACCATTTTGAGGATCTTCAAGAGTTATTTTGTAGGCATTTGATTTGTTTCAAGTTGGATCACAGATTGATATCAGTTACAAAAACATTAAAAACAAGAGAAGCGTACTGGACAGATGTTTCGTTATACTTTGAAACTCTTCGGCAACAAGCACCACTGAGGTTCGAGCCCAGGACTTATGGTTACAAGGCAAGCCCGTAGACCAGTCAACCACCGAAACTGGATCCGATAGCCCACGAATTCTAACTTCTACCAATTCGTGATGTAAGAGAGACTGGCACCAGTCACTAGCCCTGAAAGCGAGTATTTGTCCTCAACGGTCACGATTTCACACTAGAATTCCACGCAACCTCATCCTGTAGCTAATCACTACCAAGAATCAGAATAGATTTAAGTGTTAATTTGTAGGTATTTCGTTTGCTTACTAGTGACTGGCCACAGAACGAATTTGTCTGGAGATCTGGTGAAAAGTCGAGACTATTGGGGCTCACCAGTTCAAGGGTGAGAACAAACACTCACCGACTACACTGGTCGGCAGTAGCGCTACATATCCTGAATCCATAAAATTTAGAATTCGTGGGCCGTTAGATAGCTTCTTAGTGGCTAAAAATGTTTAGTCAGCCTGTTTCACAACCTGAAAGTCCTGGGTTCGACAATCGGTAGCATCATAGCTATGAACTGCTAAAGAGTCCCGAGGTGGGACGAAACAGCAGTCCGATACTTCCCGGATCCAAATGGTTCTCTAATTATTGTCAATTTTTTATCTAACTTCACACTAACTAAATCCCTGTAAGTAATCACTTGAACTAAAAATTAAATGCGAACAAATAAACCAACAGCAACGTACTCGTGTTATTGATTTCATGCCACATTTATATACATAATTATCAATTAATTTTGGTCGTAAATGATCAGTTTCTTGAAACACTTTTGGTCGCTTAAATTCGTCTCCTTCTTTTCGTGCTGACTGATTTAATCTTGCCATTGCTGTACACCGGTAGTAGAGATTTTCTTCTGAATTGACAACCACGCAGTAATTTATACGCATATAATTACTGATTGCACGATTCCATGACACGTCCAGTGTATCACTGAAAAGATAGAAGAATTATTTTATTGCAACATTTTATACTACTTGAGGTAATATTCAGTAGGTTATTATTTATTGTAGATGGTAGACCATATCCCTCATGTACTTAAGGGAAATCATACCGGGTGTGAAATAAAACTGATTACCGCCAGTTGGTTACTTCCACTATGATTAACTAAAATATAACAGAGTATAGTGAGCTAGAGTATAGGGTGAAAATCCGCTAAGGTTTCCTTTTCAAACCCAAAATATTCAGATCACAGTACATATTCTGTTTGCATACCATATGTGGAAATGTAGAAAGCAAGCAAAAGTACGTGACGGTATGTACCGGTGATTGACATTGACAGTGGGAAACCATCCACGTCAGCCGCTGATGCCTGCTAACCTGACTGAAGTGATTCAAACATTTCGTAGTGGTTTAGGTTGTTTGAGGTCGAACTCACCAGTTGTGACTGGCTTCCAACTGCTCATACGAGTCATTAGTATATATACTACCAGTCAGTTCCCGTCGGTAGTTGACTAGCCTCCCATCTCTGTAAATTCAGGTAATTAAATCTGTTGTACAGAGATCTAGAAAGAACTCCAACGGGGACCTTATGATATTGCTTGTTAAGAAATGAAAACATCGATTTTCATGTCTTTGTCTGCAGCATCAGGAGCAACATCTGGATGTTCAGCACTAATTTCAGGTTATTCAGTGATTCTGCATACTTCAGAGACTTAGAGCATGCGTCACCAAGAGGCTACTGCAGATGTTCAATAAAATCTGTCCTTCCTCCATGATGAACATCATATCACGATTAATAGCTGAAGTCATCATGCAAAGATTAGAATTAATTGCTCTACCTATAATTAAACCAAAACTCTGGGTACATTACGTTGATGATACATTTGTAATAGTTAAAAGAAATGATTTGTAATATACCCACAAATTAATAAACAACATATTTGAAGACATCTGATTCACCTCAATAAAAGAAGAATTAGATAACAAAACCCCATTTTTAGATGTTTTAATCGCTAGAACTAACACACGTATACAGATAATCAACGTATACAGAACAAATGCTCAAATGTAAATAGTAATAACTCGATTGCTCACAAAAGAAACCCTGTGCAGAAATCGTTTAAATGGGTTCAAATACACTGTAGCACCCCGGTGTTGAAGAAAATGGAAAAAAATACCTACTACTACTAATAATAATAATAAGCTTTATTCCAAAACAGTATTTGCGAATACGGAAAGGAATTCTCAGCATTTTACTACAGTATTGCGCATCCAGTTAGTACATTGTCAATAAATAAAATTCTACATGAACTAAGGAAATCTCAGTTCATTATGACAACAATATATTAGCACATTGGTAGAAAAGCCAGAAGTGAACAGAGTGTTTGAAGGTGTTAGAAAAGTAGATGCTAGGATATTTACTGGTGTAAGCGGAAGAAAGAAACAAAGCAGCACTTAACAACGAAAGAGAGAGAGAGAAAAGGAAAAGAAAGAAAGAAAACGTTGTACCTGTAAATGATATGAGTTGGAAAGACGAGATCCAATTGTTCTACCGACTATTTAATAAGTTGTTGGTATCACGCCTAATGCTTTCTTTATCGCACAGAACGTGAGCTAAGTAGGGTATAGTTAAATTTTTGTACTTGCTTGTGCGAGCATATAGTTTTCTATATAGGCTTCTGGTCCTGCCTGATGCGATACAATTGTAGAGCTGTGAATCAAAGGGTGAGGTGAGTCAGATAAAATGGATTTAGCCCATTTTTCACATGAGTCCAAGTGCCTGTCAACCAGAATATTAACAAGCTGGTTAAGTGGCACCTGTGGCTTACCCTGCTGACAACCGTTAACATCCTGCATAATAAGGTACAGTCTTTCTTCAATAGCCAGCCCTAGAAAAACTAAGGGGGAACAATAGAGAATAATAGGCAGAATACGGGATTTAACGAATTGTAGGATTCAGGGTTCGGTTATACCAGAATGTCTTAACTTCTTGATGTAGAAGGTAAGACGGAATATTTTCTTAGAAATCATCAAGATATGAAACGACCAAAAGAATGGATATCCCCCTTAAACTTTCATCATAAAGTGTTTAAAATCAAGTCACAACACCAACAAAAAACCATCATCAAAGACTACAAGAAAACTCATCCTACCATATATAAGCAAACATATCTCTGAAATAACAGCTAGAATATTAAATTCGTTTGAAATAGATATAGCGCACAAGCCAGCCGGTCAGCCAGCACAATCATTTCATTCTATATTGTGCGAAGCAAAAGTTCCAAAGAAAAAGAAGATGAAATTAATACCATTTACAGAATAAATTGTACGAACTGCAATAAAGATTACATCAGTCAAACTGGGCGGCCCATTCGAATCAGAATCCAGGATCACAAATTAGCTGTGAAAAGACATGATATATATTCCTGTTTCATATCTCAATGCATGCAGATAATTATGGACATCAATTTAATCGTTGGGATAATGTCGAAATTTGAAACAGAGGAAACACCAGACAGTAATGCCAGAGAATTCCGTAGAAGCCTGATACTCAAGCGAATTAGCAATACGCAAACATATTAATACGGACCAAATTTACCACCAGCTAATAAAAAGTAAATCATGTGACGAGAAATTTTAAAATCCAGGTCAATAAAAATTGATCAATGCAGATATAAATCGACTACCAGTCATGAAGTTGGTTACCAGGAGATACAAGTCTATCATTTATGAAGAATTTAAATCAGTTCATTTTATGCTAAAACTTGCGCTGAAGATAGTGTTCAAAAGGAGGACAGAAGCTACACAATTAAACCAACCAACTCAGAGAAAATAACTAATTGCAAATCATCCACCTGAGCTACAAATCTTCTCTATTATTTGAACATCAAATATCCGGCTAGAAGGGACTAGCATCAAAGAACTTTTGCAAAGAACCAATCGCAAACCTATCGCCCAATAAATACTTAGAAAAAAAATGGTGATTGATCTGACATACGCTGAGGAGACCACTGAGTGGCATTGTAAGCCAGACCCGAGTGGAAAACTACGAGCTTGGCGTTAGTCTAAGATCACATGTGGTCAATCGTGTCAGCTGAGGATGCAAAACAGATTGCATGAAGTGTGAAAATAATTTATTGGTTAAAGTGGATGCTCCATTCATCTTCACATCTATAAATAGGAACTAGCAGTGTGAAAAGACATGCCACATGGACATATAGACAATTACGGATGTGAATACAACTAGGACTAATCGAAAATCATCGACAGAGGAAATATAAAGAATGCCAGAAAATTCCTAGTGGCCTGCTATTGAAATCAATTCTCAGTTGGTGGATGTGTTAGCACAAATCAGATATATCAATCAATAAAAGACAGATCCTATGAATAAAAAGTCAAATTATTGGTCAGTGACTGGAACAATAATAATACAAGCGGATACAATCATAAAGAAGTCTACGTGCACAATCAATCACAGTGAGGATAACCAGGAGGAATCAATATTCCATCTATGTAAAGTTCCTACAGCTCAAAATCACACTGAATTTAACGCACTGAAGATTTTATATTTACAAGGATGGCGAAAGCTTTACAAGTAAACCATATAAATGAGAGAACAGAATAAACTATACCACTTGAGCTACAAATCTCCTCCACCCCACCATTATTTTAATTCTTTTTCAGATTGTGGTAATTATTCCAACGTTACTCAACATTCCTTAGTGTTAAGATCAATTTATCACATTTTTGCATTATATGAGATAATGCTACAACTTTTAAATACCATTTAGAATGTAATCATAGAAATTACAGTTAACATGATGCAGTTCAATTAACCGCCAAAAATTCAAATTTTCATCATCCAATGAAATTATTCCTAGTGTGTTAAAACAACCAAGTCACTGAAGTCCTGACTGTTCAAGACTAGGACACTAAAGGGAGGAAAGGATAGGTCAATGAAGTAGGAATTTTTGGCAGAATAAATAAACAAACACAAATAAACGAGTTGAAAATATTGCCCGTAGCTTCTTTAAACTGCCAAATGAAACACATTCTTTCCAGTAATACACAAATGGAATGTTAAGTATTTAAGATGTATGATTATTGTTTGTTATTGTTATGATTAACAATGTCATTTGAACATATCTAGGGGAGAGAAATGTGTACGAACAAGAGATCACATATAAAATGAATGTTTATCCTAAGGCCTAGATTTAAAACTCTGCCATCTTGGCAAGTGAACAAGAAAAACAAATATTTTTACTGGCTATTTTTATTTAAAATCAAAATGGAGGCATTTAACTTGAAGTAATTTGGTGGATGGTGACTAGCTGTGGGGAATCCAGAATAACGAGCATTTCTTACTACAAGGGACTCGTCCGCCAGCTGGATGTACCTGAATTCCCCAGTGAGTGGTAATCTTCCCACTGAAGCTCTAACCAAGTGCCAGTAGTTTCAAAGGCCACTAGACCACTTGGGCCGAAACGGGCACTCCTTGTGCAACGAGTATCAGGAATTTATTCACTTATCAGTTTCTGTTGACTTGTCGGCTCTCAGGCCGAGAATGTAGGCCCAATCAGTCAACTGGAATGTCCAAAATGAACCAAATAAAATAAAGGCAGATATAAACTTAATCAATATTTAGGCTTTCGATCAATATATAAATGTTAGTGAATCACTAACAGTAATTGAGAGAAAAAAGTCAAAGGTAAATTGAAAAGGAAATATCCCGCTGCTAGACTAATTCCACTTTGTAATACACACAACGCTTATTTACTCAGTCAAAAGTTGTTATATTTCACAATATTTTGAGGCTGAAATAAGGATGACGAAGTGGAAACAGACGTGCTGATCACGAATACCACTTGACGACTCCAACAACGAGCTCGCCTTGTAACCAAAAGATCCTGGGTCCGAACTGGTGGGTGCGTACTGCTGGAGAGACCTAAACTAGGACGAAACAGCTGTCCAGTACTCCCTGCAGGTTTTCC